GTCCAAGCTCTACCAACGCAATAGATGAGGCAGCAGCGCATGAAACCAGTTCAGGTGACTGCCTGACATGGTGCTGAGGCAAGTTTGTCTTTGTCTACATTTGTATTCCAGTCAAAGCGGCGTAGTGAAAAAAATAGGTGCAAATAAAGAGTGTCAGTAGTAAGGTCGAGTTCCCAGGTTCAAGGCGGCAAACACCAACTCAAGTGAGTTTGCAGGTAGAGTTTAGCAGCTACAGTATGGTCGATTTGTGTTGATTTTGAAAACACCTATCAAATCTGTACAGAGTATAACGGGGTTACCGGCAGATCGACTAGTGATTCGGATGTAATGTTAAAGATCTGTGAGTAAATAATCTGTGAGACGAACAGTAGAAGACTAAGTTCACCGAGGAAGTGGAGACAGGCAAAGGCTAAATGTTACCAGTCTTGTAAGAACCCGTGGCAGGCGGTAATTGTTTATTACTAAAGTGGCTTATACTAGGTGTGTTCGTTCATACATTGGATGCGTCCGCTCATCTGCGTGATTTCCATACAGTTACTTTGGAGGCATCCGCTCATCCGCGTGATTTCCATAGAGTGTTTCCCAACTGGTGCTCGTCTCTGTGTTTACTCCTCGTGCACATGGAACTGGAATCCTGAGGTCATCTTCAGCTTTGGGGAAGTCGGCAAGGCTCGCTGTTGGTGTGTCAGCTTGCATCACACTACTTATATCCGGTTCAGTAGTATCTACCTTCAATCCACCACACTCCTCCCCCTCCAAAGGATTCGCGTCAGCTGCCTTCCGTCGGAGTCTTTCTGACCGCCGGGGATGTTCACTGTACGAGCGTGTTTCCTCCTCCAATTCGTACCACTTCCTCAGCTCGCTGGCATTCACCCTCCGCGATTCACCTTGCCGAGCGATTGTATACACTGGGCCTCGCCGGTCGATTACCTCGTACGGTCCTTTCCACTTCGCTAGGAGTTTCCTCTCCCCTGGGCCGCAAGTGGGATAGCGTTGATGGTCCCTGTACTTCACTTTCGAACCAATCTGAAACTCGATATTCCTTCCACCTTTGCTGGTCTGGAACTTCGCCATCCTCAGCGCCTGAGTCGCCTGTAGGTTGCGGTTGGCGGTCTTTCGGTTATTACGTCTCTCCTCAGGTGATATACGGCAAGTTGGCCACATTCCAATCTCTAGGTCCACAGGTAGACGAGGTTGTCGACCGTACATCAACTGGAATGGTGATTTCTTTGTGGACGCCTGTTTGGTTGCTCGATGGGTCAGCAACAGTAGCGGCAGCGCTTCCTCCCAGTCTCCATCTTTTGCTGCTAGCCACTCCTTAATTGTTCTATTGTTACGTTCCGTCAGGCCATTTGTTTGCGGGTGGTATGGGGTGGTGCGCAATTTCTTGATGCCAAGTTTCTCCAAACAGTCCCGGAATTCTTCACTCTCGAAGCACGGCCCTTGATCTGTTAAGATGGCCTTTGGGATTCCGTGATCCGCTACCAAGTGATTCATGACAGCATGGGTAACGGTGCTAGCCCGTTGATCCGGGATGCCTGTCGCCTCAATCCATCGCGTGAAGTGCTCCGTCATCAATAAAATGTACTGGTTACCACAACTGGTCAATGGAAACGGCCCCATCACGTCGACCGACCAAAGTTCACCAATTTCCGAGACCGGGATCGTCATCGTTTGCTGCTGCATCCCTCGGCAATCCGTTTTCATGAGCTGACATTGTCGGCACGAAAGTACGCACTTCTCAACGTCCATTTTCATTCCCGGCCAATACGCGCGTTGCTTCAGCAGATCGTAGGTCCTGGAACAACCTGTGTGCGCCATCTCGTGACTAGAAACTACTAGATTCCGTCTTCGTTTCATTGGAATGACTGGCACCGAAGGGTTGCTACCTCCTGGCATCCACATTAAGATCCCTGCTTCGTTCACTTGCAGCTTTCCCAGGTCTTTTGCAAACGGTCCCAGCTGCTTGAGTTGGTTTTTGTTGAAGTTTGTCTGACCAGTTAATCGCACGGTGATCAACTTGCGTAGGAGTTTGTCGCTACGTTGCTCGGTTGCAAACCGTTCTGGATCCTGCTCGCACAGTATACCGTTAATACCGAAAGCTACGCTCGGCAAGTCATCCTCATCTATCATGCGTGACAAAAAATCCGCCGTCTGATTTTCCTCCCCCGGCACGTGTTTTATCGTGAAATCATACTCTTGTAAGCGCAATGCCCATCTCGTCAGTTTTCCTCTGGGGTCTTTGGCAGACTTAATCCACTCTAACGGTCTATGGTCTGTTTCGACGTGAAATCGCTGACCCAGGAGATATGGTCGCCATTTATCTAACGCCCAGACAATTGCGAGACATTCTTTCTCTATGGTTGAGTATCTGCGTTCCGCAGGCGTCAAAGTTCGGCCGGCATATTCGACCGTCCCATGGTTTTGTTTCAACACCGCACCGATCCCGACATCGCTGGCGTCAGTGGCTACCGTGAACATCTCACCAGCGATGGGCAATTTCAGGATCAACTCCTGCCTTCCCATTTCCCGTAGAATCTGATCAAAGGCTCGTTGAGCTTCTGCATTCCACGTGAATTTCCTATCTTCAAATGGCTCCGGCCAGGGGATCTTCATGGGTTTTGAGGTCACGCACCAAATGTAAGAACCCGTGGCAGGCGGTAGTTGTTTATTACCAAAGTGGCTTATACTAGGTGTGTTCGTTCATACATTGGATGCGTCCGCTCATCTGCGTGATTTCCATACAGTTACTTTGGAGGCATCCGCTCATCCGCGTGATTCCATAGAGTGTTTCCCAACTGGTGCTCGTCTCTGTGTTTACTCCTCGTGCACATGGAACTGGAATCCTGAGGTCATCTTCAACTTTGGGGAAGTCGGCAAGGCTCGCTGTTGGTGTGTCAGCTTGCATCACACTACTTATATCCGGTTCAGTAGTATCTACCTTCAATCCACCACAGTCTCAGGCAACGCACCCTACGATCAGTTGCAAGTATGGCAGTGTTCTTCAGATAGAGATGGCTGAGCTGGGAGTGGGCACTCACTACGTATGTGTAGTCACCGCTTACTGAAAAGGACCTTGTTTTGTCTGCCAGATGTAGGGTGGCACAAGGCTCGAGGTGGACAAAAGTTGACTTGACAGCGGGAAATGAAGTCACTAAAGAACAAACTCGGTGCCGATGGCATATCTTGCTCCCCAGGCTAAAGCCCACGTGACTCGTCTTGTGCTTGGCTCGAGACTTTACAGGACATGGGTCGCAACCGACACCAGTGGCGAGTCTGCTGCCGTCTCCTAGTAGGACTGCTCGTTTAACGTGTTTGGTGCTGAGTTTTCTGAGGGATAATGGCTGATTAGGACGCAGGGCAGTGAAAGTCGCAAGGAAGCGGTCGCACCGATGCTGCCTTATCTTTGCACGATAGCCAACTGTTTGTGACAGTATGTTGTCTACACAAGGTGTAGGCGTCTTGACCCTGAATGTTTGCTTATGGCATTAAGATTTTCCGTTGAGTCCCCCATACTCTCCCTTTTATTATTATTCTTTCCGTAGCTCGTGGCTGTATGGAGGCGAAACAAGTTAAGGTGGCTAATGTACTGCTGTTGCTGTTGATGACGATGCTGGGAGTGGGATCCGAGTGGCGATTGCCAACAAGTGACAGCATAATTGGTACCACTGAGCAGAGCGCAAAGAGTGCCGCGTGTTAATGAGTTTGTCGGTGTTACAAGAGGTGCTCGTTGTGTGAGTGGATTGTGACCTGCAATCTTCAAACAAAACATTAACTGTTGCGACAAGTGTTGCTGGTGGTTTAATGGTGTAATAGTGGTGGTGGTGGTGGTGGTAATTTCTACGCCCCAGATACGACTCTAGGTTCCACCAAACCTAAAGAGAGTGCAGTGTTGGGAGTGCATAAAGCCCATCACTTGTCTGCTTCAGTCAGAGTTCCTGAACTAACCGCGATTCAAACTTGGTCTGTATCATGCAACTGATCCACACGATGAGTGCCACAGACAAAGTTAACAATGCTGAGTGAGGACTTTTCCGGTGTTGCTCAATCAAAACGCTGAGTTCCACGACCGATTTCATCATTCTGTGGACTCTTCCGGTAGTATTGGCAGGAGCGTAGATTGGAGCATGGTGTACAGTGGCTGACGACTTGTACCTTGATCACTATGTTATCGACTTTTGTGGACAACAACTGGGTTCTAAAGTACTCAGCACGCGTCTGGATTGCGACACGCCATCTCAATTTGGACAATGAGAAGAAAACTTTGGTGCACAGGAGGTCGCTTGAGCCCAACATAAGCACCGGATATCCCAGAAACTTCGATTAAGTTTCACTTGCTGAGTGACTGGGGCTCGAAACGTGATGCAATACCGAGCCAGATGGTGAAACCAAGTGGAGCAAGTGAAGGGTAAAAAGGTCAGTTGAGATTCATTACAAAAGACAGGAGGATCTCTGTGTTCCAAAGGAATCTGGCGGTTGCCCTGCGTGATGAATGATTAGGTGGGTTGATAATCCCCTATTCGTCAACACCGCAGTTTCCACAATATATGGCCAAAAGTTAACTGTACGATAAAAGTCCCAAAAATAAATAGATGAGAATGCTACGTAACTGAAATCGGCCGATGCGTATTTTGTACGAGGCGCTCACCTATTTGGCTACCCAGATAAGTCAACGGGTTAGTACAGGTAATCAACAGAGAACGAAGCCTATCACATCGCAGTCGAGATAGCAAATCTCCGGCCTAGTCAATCAGGTTATGTGACACAGAAACTTTTTTTCGCAAGGTAGTGGTTGAAGCATAGTCCTATGTGCCAGGACTCTTATATCCCAGCAGTTTCATGAGACAGCCTCCAGTAGATATGGACGTGGTTGGCACCGAACGGGAGATATCCTACTATGCGCATCCTCGGGTTGAGCAAACTCTATGAGAAATGCACATAAAAAATACGAATGTCGAGAATTCATATTATTCCAAACGTTGGATAGGATAAATGCTCACTCTAGCTGGTACGCCAGTGTCTGAGAGAGGGTCATAATCGAATAATGCCCGGACGGTCATCGTTTTCTTCATCGTTGTGGTCAGTCGAGGAATGAAGGAGAAGTTATCCATTGAGCTGGCTCGAATATTTCCAGACGTAAGAGGTTTATACAGTGCGGGAGCAGGGACGAAAGTAGAACGTGTGGAGTCGCCGAGGGAGGCATCTGTCATCGAAACCTTTTGCGTGGGGACACCACTGTCTAAATTCGGATCCTGTCGTATGTTCGAATTGGCAGACCATGGAACAAGGAATTTTCGAGAATGATTGACTGACATAGAAGGACTGACTGTTCTGACATTCATCTTCATGCATCGAAGTAAGCGTAGAGGAAATAATATTCCGAATATTGGTGACTGTCCGCCGGATTGAATCACAGGCTGCTGGGCTCAGCGATATCCATTACGTCTGCGGAGTAGCGGAAAGAAATACGTGATGAGTGGAGTAAATATGGGATAATATGCGGATAGTGTAAATGGGTAGGTAACGCAAGGAAAAAAAGTACCACAGAGAGAATGGTGTCAGAACAGATACGTGGAAAGACTGTTCAAGCATCGCGCGCCAGCGATTCGAAGCATCCACAGAAAAGAAGTGGGTGAAAATGAGAGTTGTGGAAGCTTCTAATATCAACAGCCATGGACCATACGAGTTTGAGTGCGGTCTTGTCAGGGGACGCGAAGGTGAGATGCAGTAACTAAAAATGAAAATATCAATCAGGCGAGACCCAACTGGTGACCTATCACTAAGTCAATACCCAATCGGCTCCATAACAGATGAAAAGAAGTTATCATTATGCAAACAGTACATAAATCCGTAGCGATTAAGTCAGAGAGACCCTAACATGGGCATATCAGTTGAGTACCGCAGAACGCCTATGATCCAGACACTGAATTGTAGTGGATCCAGTTACCAAGACTCGCATAGCCAGAATAACAATAAATAACAAAGGCAAGAAAATGTGGTCGAATGCGAATAGAATGCCAAGAAAATGGAATCAAAGAGGTGCGCCGAACTAATCAGGATGGAATGAAAATTAACGGTTGGATGCAAGAAACCTAATGCACGTACGCCATTGACGGCGCGAGTGTGCCATGTCTGATACGGTCAACAACCCCAGATATGAACCATTCCGGGGTTCCCATCCACGAAGAGGGCATGCACCAGCCTGACTAAGTCTATCGGTCAATTTCTTTAAGCGTTTATGTCACCAAAGTTGGTGCAGCCACGGCGAAGAAGTTGATAAACGGACAGGCGGAGAACATGACCTAGCCAACGTAAGCGGTTAAAAATAAGCAAAAACTCGGGTGTGGTACCAGGGAATTTCTTGCCGAAAACCAACTGGCAGAGCTCAGCATTGTTCACTTAGTGTTGCCACCATATATGAGCAATACGTCGCAAGAATCGGTGGTCAAACACCGCCAAGCGTTTGATGTGTTCGCCGCGAACTGGCTAGGTCTCTGAGCCATACAGTAACACCGGTCTCATCGTAGCGCTATACACCCTACCTTTCACTGAATAGATGATATCCAGCTGTCGCCACAGAGAGATGAGCCTCCAGAAAGCATGATGTAGCACATGCGATTGTGAGTGCCTGAGCCAAGACGGCTTAGTAAGCAAGCAGCGTCGCCAGAAGGTCCAACATCGAAGAGGCAACGAGTCAGTTGAAAAGGTAAACACCATCAGCGCAGCGCTTGCTAATTAGCCTTCTTCCAATTCAATTCCATTTACTAACCCAGGAAAGTAATGCGGTTTATGTAACACGTGTGCTACACCATCGCTGCAGTTAGTCCGTTCGTGTGCCTAAGTGTTAAGTCTCATGTATTGCAGCCGTTTGTTGATTAATATCCCCGGTGTGACTGCACCTGAGATGAATGTTGACAAGGTGTTTACCTGCCTAACACCCTTCATCACAATTATCGACTCCAGAGTGTTATTCGTTGCTGAAGGTGACAGGGTGCATGGTCCCTATGACTGCGCTAGGGTCAAAGAGTGGTTTCAGGCATCGAGTGTGAAGCGGGCTATGACCCAACCACCGCGTTGTACGCCTCTGATACGCATGATTCTCCACATAGATAGACAGGAATGCTCCTGCTCCGTATGTTGAAGGAGTGTAGGCCGGCTCCGTGGAGAAAACGTGGCTCCCATCCACATGCCTCCCGGTCTTATTCCTTCGGGCTTACACTGGTATGAGGTGTGTGAATGGAGCTGTGGGTGGTGCAGGGCAAGTTACTCATGGTCTCCATGCAAGCGCAGGCGTCGTGTGGCTGTCGTATGGAGGCCGCAGTGACAGCTACATCCGGAATCGGATGTTGCCAACCATGATCAAAAGCGAAATGAGCCAAAGTAATCGAAGAACTTGAATTGACAGCGCCATCTATACCTAACGACCCAGGTAACTCGATGCAAGAGTTTATGACAGGAAACTGTCAGTGATATCATTAGTAATCGACGAACAGCCGAAGAAAACAGTCCCCATTACCCGCTCGAGACCTATCTATTCCGAAAGACTCTTTGAAGTTAGGACACAATACTTAACCGAGTTAAGCGTCCCTATCACACGTAACGGTAACAGTACCTGTACCTTCGATGATGTGAACTGGAACACAGCCGATTGTGAAATTCATCTTTAACATTCATCTGGTTGTAACCACGTAAATGAAACGCATGA